TTGGGTACAGGGAGACTGAGTGTTGGGCACAGGGAAAGTGAGTGTTGGGCCCAGAGAGAGTGAGTGTTGGGTACAGGGAGACTGAGTGTTGGGTACAGGGAGACTGAGTGTTGGGTACAGGGAGAGTGAGTGTTGGGTACAGGGAGAGTGAGTGTTGGGTACAGGGAGAGTGAGTGTTGGGCACAGGAAGAGTGAGTGTTGGGCACAGGGAGAGTGAATGTTGGGTACAGGGAGAGTGAGTGTTGGGTACAGGGAGAGTGAGTGTTGGGCACAGGGAAAGTGAGCGTTGGGTACAGGGAGAGCGAGTGTTAGGTACAGGGAGAGCGAGTGTTGGGTACAGGGAAAGTGAGTGTTGGGCCCAGAGAGAGTGAGTGTTGGGTACAGGGAGAGTGAGTGTTGGGTACAGGGAGAGTGAGTGTTGGGCACAGGGAGAGTGAGGGTTGGGCACAAGGAAAGTGAGTGTTGGGCCCAGAGAGAGTGAGTGTTGGGTGCAGGGAGAGTGAGTGTTGGGCACAGGGAAAGTGAGTGTTGGGTACAGGGAGAGTGAGTGTTGGGTACAGGGAGAGTGAGTGTTGGGTACAGGGAAAGTGAGTGTTGGGTACAGGGAAAGTGAGCGTTGGGTACAGGGAGAGTGAGCGTTGGGTACAGGGAGAGTGAGTGTTGGGTACCGGGAAAGTTAGTGTTGGGTACAGGGAAAGTGAGTGTTGGGTACTGGGAAAGTTAGTGTTGGGTACTGGGAAAGTGAGTGTTGGGTATGGGGAAAATTAGTGTTGGGTATGGGGAAAATTAGTGTTGGGCACAGGGAGAGTGAGTGTTCGGCACAGGGAGAGTGAGTGTTGGGCACAGGGAGAGTGAGTGTTGGGCTCAAGGAGGGTGAGTGTTGGGCACAGAGAGAGTGTATGTTGGATCTGGGGATTTCTGGTAGCATTGGGAGAGGTGGATGGCAGAGGTTCGGACAGATCCAGCAGAGATGGGAGCTGGAGTGGGGTTGCGAGGGTGATTAGGTGTGAAGTGTGTCGAATCCTTGGAAGGGGAATCAGGGCAGCGTCTGGTGTGTGTAACTAGTCTGTGCCAGGTCTAATGGGATGTCCTTGATGCTAAAGTTATTCAGACAATGCCTTGATATCAAGGCCAGTCACTCCGACTTCATCACTTGAAGTTAGCTCTTTTTCCAATTTGAATAAGACTGGAATGAGGTCAGGAATTGAGTTCAGTACAGCTCCACCTTTTTATTGTATGCTGTACCATCAATGAGGCCATGTTTAAGCTACCACCTGTACAGATCAACTTCCATCGATGTCAAAGGAAAATAAATTTGGATGGGTATGAAACTTGTGCCTAAAGTAATCATCTCCTTTTCCTGACAGGCAAGTCCAAGTAAAAATTATTCCTATAGGCACAGCTTTTCATGGATATGAGAGATTGCTGACAAGGTTAAGTGATTAGATTTAGTAACATTAGGCGACAGTTGTTGGATGTCAGTCTCTTGGAATCCAAAGTAAAACAGCACAGGATAGAAACCACACTGCAGTGTGACTGCAGTACTTCACATGCAAGCTATTCCTGGACATATTCTCATTCAGGTTGCAAAATAAGCTTCAGTTTAAGATGAGGAGTATCTGCTAGTGCCAGTTAGCAATCAATAGTAGACAGGTTTTTACCATCCCTGCGGACTCATGTATTGAGAACTGTATTTTATTTCACACATTTTTTTTTCATTTTATGGAAATGATGCCACAACTGAGAACAGATGGTGCTGTAAAAAAGCATGCCATCAGAACCATCTGCAAATAACGCATCAATTTAGCTCCCATTGCAAAGTAAAATTTACATCTAATTTTCATCATTTTAATTCTTATTTAGCATGTGGTAGAAACAGAACGCATGACTTTGTTGCTCATGAATTATCAGCTTAAACTCACTTGTGGGCTATATATTGTACCGCATGGCTGCTTATCATGTGCCCTTTAGGACATTCTTCTACTTACAGGATTTACAATGGAGTTTGCATTAAGGGATTCCATTACAGGACGATTTGTTCAGGACAGGGTGTCAAAATTGCATTTGTTCTTAAGTTTATTATGAATTTACCCTGTTCAATTTTGAAGATTTCAAACCTAAAATGGGTTTTGAAAATTCAGTTAGCATCATCATATTGGATACTCTGACTTTTCTGAGAGGTACAGCTTAAAAAGCATGCGTTACTGCTTTTAGTTACCATATTTCAGAAGTAGATAGAGAAGCTAAAACTCAGTTTGTGCAGTGTCATCTGATGTGGATTTGCAAATTTAGCAAAAACGCATCCGACATATGTAGCATTGTATTATGAAGCTGTTTATCAGAATTGGCTAGGCCTCCTGGCAATCAGCAGTTGGACATTATTGTCTGTTAAATAGAGTACACTGTTACACAAGAATTAATACCTGATTGTAAAACTGAATCACAATTTATCTGCAAGAGAATTGCTTTCTGAAATTCTGGGATAAAAGCTACTTCACACAGTTATTTTATTAGTTTGGGTTTTTTTTCAGGGCTATGTAGCTAGGATGCACTGGAATCAATCAGTTCTTAAAGTGCTGGATTGCTTTAAACATGATTTCACAAAACATTGCTTCTATTTTTTTCTCTGGGTGAAGAAAAAAAGTGTAAAAATTGCGAACTCATACATAACTGTCATCTATTATTCCTTTTTCAGTACTTTTATGACATTCATCCTGTTATCAGATCAGAAACACCTATAATTTGTTCAATAAATCACTTCGGTTCATATGGATCACTAAAAGACTTTGACCAAGTCATTCAAATTAGGTAGATACTCAGCTCCCAGGCAAAAGTCAGATACTATTCCTTTTGACTGAATGAACATTTGAGTTGTTGTTTGACATTTCAGCTTTTAGGATTTTAGATTTTCCGATTATTCACTTTGTAACATACTTGGCAAGAACACTGAATGGAGATATTCGAAGATGATTACAGTACCAAAGTGAAATTCCCAACAGGTTATTTGAAAAACCTCACGTTGAGGCATCACTACATATTGCTTAGAATCACAGAATCCCTACAGTGTGGAAGCAGGCCATTCGAACCATTGAGTCTGCACCAACCTTCTGAAGGGGACCCTATGCAAACCTATCCCCCCACCCTTTCCCTGTAACCTTGCACTTTCCATGGCCAATGCACCTAACCTGCACATCGTTGGACTGTGGGAGGAAACTGGAGCACCTGGAGGAAACCCACACAGACACAGGGAGAACATGCAAACTCCACACAGACAGTCACCCAAGCCTGAAATCAAACCCAGGTCCCCAGCACTGTGAGGCAGCATTGCTAACCACTGAGCCATTGTGCCACACCATGCGTGAATGTACGAATTTCAGCACCAGAGATGAAAACTCTAATAGACTTTCTGGACCACAATTTAATGTTTGGCAGAGACCTGCTTGTCAAATTTATAAAGGTACAAACTTTCAAATGTAAATAGTATGGGATATAATAATCTGTTTACAGTTTCTGGTTGAGACATGGTTGAAGAATGGGAATGAGACCCTCTGAAGCTTCCTACAGAGTCTGAATGTTCAGGCTGTATCATTGTATCATGAACAATGCAGAAATCCATCAGGTTAGGTTTATTCCATTTCATCCTCTTCCAAGAAACCCATCTGAGTTCAATCAGTCCAAATTGGCTTCAATTAGGACCTTTATAGACAGCTGGGATCTTGTATGCAAACATGATAGCAGCGGTGAGACATACAAAAATACAGGACTCTGAACAATGTCCAGAATTAATCAAATTCTCAATAAATTAAAAACTAAATGATCAATTTAATTGTGGCATGAACCCCAGCACCATGTGTCTGAAGCTATGTTCAGTTCTGGACGAATTAACATACAATAGTAGATTTCACATTGAATCCCTGATATTTTTGCAGAGCACTAGAGGAAAATGGCTACAGCCCTGGTCTCTGTTGCACAAAATGGTGCTGACTACTAAGAGCTGTCCTTGAATTAATTTATTTACAAAGCAACAGAAGTCAAATAATGATATTCCTTTGTGACAAAACTGAAAATGTGACTATGTGCTCTACAGGTAAGAAGTTATCCTTATCTGTGTTAAAAGTAAGTGCACATATTTTCATTCAAACTATGTAGCAGATCGTACAATATTAATTTCAATTTACAACAAGCGTATTAATGAGAAAAAGTTTAGAAATGAGCACAGGCATTCACCTGATGGTGCAACCTAACAATAACTGAAGCATGTTTGCTGTCTCTCTGGGTCAATGAAGTCCAAATCCAATGCATTTTATTGAAGGGCACTTACCTGCTTGATTCGTCGTGACATTTACAGACACAAATTGTCGAGGGATGGAACTCAGCTCCGACACTCCGTTCACTGCCTCAATCTCGAAGGTGTAATTGGTGTGAGCCAGGAGATCCACCACCATGACCGTGGTGTTCCTGAGGCCAGCCTCCTGTGGGATATACCTGACACCGCTACCGCACTCCTCACAGCGGATCAAATCCACGCTGCACCTCTTGCAAATCACGAGGTATGTCACATCTTTTCGTCCTCCACCATCAGCAGGAGGACTCCAGTCCAGAATCACACTGGTATTGTTGATGTTAGAGATGACATTCTGTGGGGGTGAGGGGGGTCCTGGGATCAGTGACAAAACAAGGTGTTAATTGCATGGCCTGTGTGTACATTTCCTACATTTAAAGGATAGGCACATTACATACTTCACATAAAATCCACCTTTTTATGATGTCTTGAAATACTTATTGTGCATTTTAAACTACAATATATCACAAGAATATATTAAAATAGAATTAAATCCCAAACAGGAAAAGATTTTGCATTGTGTCTGCAAGATAAAGATTACAATTCTTCATTTTCTCCTTTTTATCACCCAGTCTAAGAATGTTGCGGTTTTTAGCTATTCCTTACATTAAAGAACCCAATTTATTGTTTAAGACTTTGTTTAAAAGTCATTTCAGTATTAAATGTGCTGAGCTGGAACTATCTGCCAATAATGTCTGTCTAGATTCTCCCATCATATTTGGTAGAACATAATGCAGTCTCCAAGATGAACATTTTTAGAATCACTAACTAATCTCTGGAATTCCCTCCTTATAACTCCTCTCCTCTCGACGTCTCTTTCCTCCTTTGAGACACTCGAGAAAGCTTCTCTCTTTGATCACACTTTTGAACATATGTCCTCATTTTGCCTTATTTGGTTCCATATCAAATTTTGCTTTGTAACACTCCAGTGAGATATCGTAAATAGAAACGGGTGTTGAAAGATTTATGATCAAAAGGATTGGCACAGATTGTTGTCATTTTTAAGTTCAGATGGGCTAGCTGATAGGCATGACATGGAGCGGTGTAAAGGTCCCCAGTGAATTGACGAGAAATCTCTTCCTCAGCTCAGTGTGTTGTGAATCTCTTTACCCCATGGGGAACCGAATGTTCAATAAATGAGTATATTGAAGACAGTGAACCTGTAGCTCTAGGTTCTTCAGTAAGGAAACAACCAGCCATCTGAACTGTGAAATCCTCAAAGAATTTTCAATGGGATCAGTATTCATTCATCTAAATTCCTGAGAGTGTGGGCCCATTTTAGTCAATCGCTCCTTATTGTATAGCTCTGTCCTCCCTCGAATCAATTTAGTGCATCTTTTTTGCATCCCTTCCAATAGTAAATTTGCTTAAGTAAGGAGATTAAAACCCTGTACAGTGTTCCATTACCAAAACCATTTGCACCAACACTTCCTTACAGTTCTACTCCAAACTGCTTGTAATGTGAAAAAATATATAACTTACCCTCTGATTGCTTGTTAATTATTTTTGTGAATAAGGGCTTCTCAACCCCTCTAAAGATCAACATTACTACTGAAGAAAAAAGATTTTTTTTAATTCTTTCTGCCATGGCAAATAATGTTGATTATATTCAACTACCATCTTGTTGCCCACTAACTGAACCTGTCCATATCCCGATGCAGGTTCTTTGGCCTGAATATTACTGTGGATATCGGACCAACGAGGGAGTTGGAGCAGAAAGTGGATCTGGTTCAGTGGTAGTGTCCTTACCTACTGACAGCTGATCCAATCCAGTCCCCTTCCTGAGCAACGGAACTGAGCCAGGAAGCAACCCCACCATGGCTCTCAAAACCTTTCTTGTCCCTTTAACATTCCCCACAAAGCTCCTGACTCCCCTGCCTACCATCCCTTATGCCCTGTCAGACAGGGCCATGTAAAATTTGACTCTTTACATTCTCCTCATGGCTACATTCTTAATATCAACATCTGCCAGTTAGTCACCTTGTAAAGTATATTCTACTTATCTATTTTTCCTATCAAGGTGCATTAATTCACCTTTTTCAACAGTAAGCTGCACCTGCCAACTTATTGTCCAATCACTTAACCTGCCCACGATTAGTACGTTGAAACTTTGTTTAATTTCGGTAGACTTTTTGTCAAAAACTCAGTAAAGAACTAAACATTATTTTTTATAAAATTAAGGACCTGCTTATTCAAGTGTACAAGTGGAATTCTGCAATTTATGTTAATAAGGACGCTTGGACTTGCAAATTTTAATGCTGAATTTTCATAAGGCTGATAAAACAATCTTTCATTTATTTTTGAAAATGTTTTCAATGTTGGCCCATATTTGCCTGATTTGTTTTTACAAAAGCCAAAATTCAGATTAAAAAAATAGCAGCACTTCCAATGATAGCATTAATGGTCTGAATTTTCACCAAGTTGGAACTACTCCAGAGGAATTTAAAAATAGAGAGCAGCTTCACGGATTCCCACCTCCATTCCTGGCTTCCATGATTTTCATAAATCTGAAATAAGATGTGGATAGTGAGCCTGCAACATGTAACCCTGACCTGGGTGGTTCACTGCTATTACATTGCTTCGTCCCCTACAATTTTTGTGCAACAGGGCAAGCTTTCTATAATTCATGGTTCACAATCCTTCAGACAAGTAGTGAACCATGGTACGGATTTACAAAACTTTAGAAAGATAAGTTCAAAAATATTTTCCATATCTCATGTACCCCACCCCCCACCATGCCATTTCATCCTTAATGATCCTAAAACTGCATAAATATCAATCAGACTGACTGTTAAGGTATCGATAACAGAGGTATCCAATACTTCATACCTCTTTGTCTTGTGCAAATCAACAATGAGACATTGACAAAATCTATCACAACAAACAGTCATTTATTATAACAACTTACTGATCTTCATCAAATGAAGCCAAAGTTCTCTCCAATTGTAAAAGTAGAATCCACTAAGATGATCCTTTTATGAATCTGAACTTTCAGCTGTGTGAAGCATTTGAAACCTCTCTCTTTTATTCATTCGTTCGTGGGCTGTTTGGGTGTCGCTAGCTGGGCCAGCATTTATCGCTCATTTTCCATGCCCTGGAGAATGAGGTGGTGAGTTACCTTCTTGAACTTGGGGTGTTATAAATGTTACAAAGAGAGTTGCAGGATTTCAACCCAGGGACAGTGAGGGATTCAGGATGGTGTGTGGCTTGGAGGAGAACTTGCAGATGGTAGTGCTTCATGTATCTGCTCCCCTTGTCCTTCAAGATGGTAGTGTCTCAGGTTTACAAAGTGCTTGCAGAATTACTGCAGTGCATCTTATATGTGGTACACACTGCTGCCACTGTTCATCAGCGGTCAAGGCATTAATGCTGAAAGTCGTGGATAGTGTGTCAATCATGTGGGCTGCTTAGTTCTGGATTATGTCAAGCTTCTTTAATACTGCTAGAGGTGCATTCATCCAGGTAAGTCGAAAAAATTCTGTCATGTTCCTGATTTGTGCCTTCTATGTGCTAGAAAGGAACTGGTAAGTCAGGGGGTGAATTACTTATCGAGTCATAGAGTCCTACAGCATGGAAACAGACCCTTCGGTCCAACCAGTCCATGCCGAACATAATCCCAAACTAAACTAGTCCCAACTGCCTGTTCATGGCCCATATCCCTACTAACCTTTCCTATTCACGTATCTATCCAAATATCTTTTAACTGTTGTAATTGTACCCACAGCCACCACTTCCTCAGGAAGTTCATTCCACACACGAACCACCCTCTGTATAAAAAAATTTGCCTCTTATGTCTTTTTTAAATCTCTATCCTCTAACCTTAAAAACATGTCCCCTGGTCTTGAAATCCCCTTTTGTAGGGAAAAGCCAACTACCATTAACTCTATCTATACCTCTCATTATTTTAGAAACTTCTATCAGGATGCCTCTCAACCTCCTGTGCTCCAGTGAAAAATATCCGAAGCTATCCAGCCTTTCTTTATAACTCAAACCTTCCATACCTGGCAATATCCTGGTAAATCTCTTCTGAACCTCTCCAGCTTGATAACATTCTTCTTATAACTGGGCAACCAGAACTGGATACTGTACTCCAGAAGAGGCCTCAGCAATGTCCTGCACAACCTCAATATGACTTCCCAGCTCATATACTCAAAGGACTGAGCAATGAAGGCAAGTGTGCCAAACACCTTTTTAACCACCCTGTCTTTAAATGATGCAAACTTCATATAATTATTTCCCTGCACCCCTAGGTCCCTCTGTTCTACAACAATACCCAAGGCCCTATCATTAATTGTACAAGCCCTATCCTTGTTCGTTATTGCAAAGTGCAATACCTCGCATTTGTCCAGATTGAACTCCTGCTGCCATTTTTCAGCCCATTGACCCATTTGATCAAGATCCCTTTGTAATCTTAGAAAACCTTCTTCACTGTCTGCTATGCCACCAATTTTCATGTCATCTGCAAACTTACTAACCATGCCTTCTATATTCTCAACCAAATCATTTACAAAAATGATAAACAAAAGAGGAGCCAGAACCAATCCCTGTGGAACATCACCGGTCACAGGCCTCCAGTCCGAAAAGCAACCTTCCACCATTCGTCTCTGTCTCCTGTCATTAAGCCAATTATGTATCCAATTAGTAAGCTCACCCTGAATCCCATGTGACCTAACTTTACTGAATAGTCTACCAGCGGAACCTTGTCAAAGGCTTTACTAAAATCAACTAAACAATGCCTACTGCTCTGCCATCATCAATCTTTTTGGTAACTTCCTTGAAAAACTCAACCAAGTTTGTGAAACACAATTTTCCTCGCACAAAACCATGTTGACTATCCCTAATCAATTCTGGCCTCTCTAAAAGTCTATAAATTGTATCTTTTATAATCACCTCCAACAACTTGCCCACAACCAAAGTCAGACTCACAGGTCTACAGTTCCCCAGTTTCTCCTTACAACCTTGATTAAACAAAGGTACAACATTAGCCACTCTCCAGTCATCACCTCACCTGTCGATATAAATGATGCAAATATTTCTACTAGGGGTCTCGTAATTTCCTTCCTTACTTCCTACAACCTTCTGGGATACATTAGCTACTTTTTCAGAATTCCGAGCCTCTGGCCTGTTTTTATAGCCACAGTACTGTATGACTGGCCATTGGTAACTCCCAGGATGTTGATAGTGGGAGATTCAATGGAATTGCAGAATCACAGAATTGATATCGTAGAGGAGTCTATTCAGCCCATCATGTCTGCATTTACTCTCTGAGAATTATGACTTGCTGCTAACTTCCTACATTTTCTCCATAACCCTGCACATTGTTTTTATTTAAATAATTGTTAGTGCCATCTTGAATATGTCAATCTAACCTGATTCCATCGCACTTGCAGGCAGTGCATTCCAGACCCCAATTGCTCACTATGAGAGTAGTTTTTTTTTCTCTCATGTAACATTTTCTTCATTTGCAAAACATTTTCTATCTATGCCCACTGGTTCTCAATACTTACAAGCAAGAATAGTTTCTCCCTATCTATTCTTTCTTGACGAATCATGAATTTGTGCTCTTCTGTTAGGTACCATCGAAGCCTTCTCTTCTCCGAGCAAACAGTTCTAAATTCTCCAATCTATCCTCAGAACTGAAGTTATGACTGAAGGAATAGAGTAGAAAAGTAGGGAGGTGTTGCTGCAAGTGTACAAGGCATTAGTGAGAATGCACCTGGTTATTGTGTACAATCTTAGTCTGTTTTCTTGAGGATGGATGTCGTTGTACTGGAGATAGTTCAGAGGAGGATCATGAGATTGATTCCAGAGATGAGGGGCTTAACTTCTGAAGAAAGACTGTGCAGATTAGGTCTATATTCTCTGGAATTTAGAAGAATGAGAGGAGATCTAATGAAGTTGCATAAAATGCTAAAGGACATTGACAAAGTAAACATAGAAAGGATGTTTTCTCATGTGGGGCAATCTAAACTGAGAGGTCATAGTTTTAGGATAAAGGGTAGCAGATTTAAAAGAGATATGGGGAGAAATTATTTCTCTCAACGGGCCGCGAATCTGTAGAATTCACCGCCCAGAGTGAGGTGAATGCTGAGACACTGAGTAAATTTAAGGAGGAGATAGACAGATTTTTCACTACTAATGGGTTGAAAGGTCACAGAGAATGGCTAGAAAAGTGCAGTTAAGGCCAAGATGAGATCAGCCATGATCGTATCAAATGGCAGAGCAGGTTTGAGGGGTTCAATTGCCTACCCCTGCTCCCGGGTTTTATGTTCTTATGTTAAGTTTGTCATCCCCAGAACCATTCTTAAAAATGTGTTCTGCACTCACTTTAATGCATTCAAATACTGTCTAAACTATGGCCCCCAAAACTGTACAGAATATTCCATTTGAGACCCTTAATCAGTCATTAATTGACCATTTAATCACATTAATTAGCGATGAATCAAGATGGTCACCTATGATATTTCTCACTCAGTATTTAATTGCTGAGGTGATGAGAAAGGAAGGAAGTATCTCTCCATGGCAAACATATTCAATTATTTTCCTTTCTCACTACAAACCTCACCACCTCCAGGGAGGAGATAATCAGGACGATTAAGTGTAAGTATTCACCAACTGAACAGTCTTTCCTCATTACAATTATAAAGATGTGGAGATGCTGGAGTTGGACTGGGGTGGAGAAGGTCAAAAATCACATGACACCAGGTTATAGTCCAAAAGGTTTATTTGAAAATGTAAGCTTTCAGAGCTGAGCCTCTTCACTACGCCTGAGGAAGGGGCTGAGCTTCGAAAGCTTGCATTTTCAAATAAACCTGTTGGACTGTAACCTGGTGTCATGTGATTTTTGACCAGTTATAAAGGACAGAGTGAGAAGAGGCAACACCTTACTACTGAGGCTTGCTTTCTCTTCAGAGATGCTGCCAGACCCTGCTGTGTTTCTCCAGTAATTTCTGTTTTCATTTCAGATCTTCAACATCCACAGGTCTTTGTTTTGTGCTAATGAAGCTTGTCCATTATATACATTACAGTCCATTCAAATATTTTCTTTTGTATTCCATGTTAAAATTCAAAACTAAATTAATATCACATTAATAGTCTTACTGGGCTATAAGATTTACTTACTTGTGCAAGCCATTGAAGGAGGATCATTATCTCTTCGAAAGTAGTTTTCCATACAATGACAGGAAATTGATCCTTTGTCATATGTATAACTGTAGGGAGGACACTTGCTGCAGGACAGGCTGTAAGGTGAGGCCTTAAAGAATCCTGGTTGACAAACTGTAGAAATTAAACAAATGACAAGGATTTCAATTAAATTCACCAAATGGCTGTCGATTTTTTTAAAATTATGCACTATTTCCTTTTATACAAATCATACGAGAACATGATTCTACTTGGAATAACTTCTACCTGTGGCATAAACATACAATGCCTGTCAGTATTTCAGTGCAGTCAATATTGAATTGTGATGGTTAGTTCATATGATAGTGGCCATACTAGAAAGCAATTTAGTTCTGAGATATGTTAAATTTACATGTTACATAAAGTTGTTTCTTTATAATAACTTGTTTCACAATTATATGGATATTTGTTTGGGTGTACAAAAAACAATAATACCGAAAGCGTGGGAAAAAAAATTGTATAGCATCTTTCAGACCCTCAATATCCCAAAACACTTCGTAGATAATGAAATATTTTTTGACACAAAAACAGAAATCACTGGAACAGTGTTAACTCTGATTTCTCCCCACAGATGCTGCCAGATCTGCTGAGCTTTTCCAGCAATTTCTGTTTTTGTTTCTGATTTAAAACAACCACTGTTCTTTCATTTTTATTAAGTATTTTTTGAAGTGCAGTTCCTGTCACAATATGCCAAAGGCCTAAACTTTCTGCTACTTCTTCAAAGATTCTATTGAAAGGTAAGATTTGGAAAATACAATCAAATTAACATATCTTGATTACCAAAAGTCTTTTTTAATAAGTATCATCGTGACTATGTAATTATAATATTGCATAATTTATAAAGAAGGTCAATTTGATTTTTTTTAAATAACAGACATGCACAAGAAAGGACTCCCAGGATTCATATAAATGTCCCTATTAATTCACTTTTAGACAAAAGCAGACAGACTGATATACTATCTCACCGACAACAGGAACTAACTTGAATTTTGATTAAATTCTTTGACAACAAAATGAGTCCTGGAACATGTAAAAATTGAAGACTTCTTACACAAGCGAAAGAATGAAAGAAAACCCCTCAAGGAATTCCAGAATAACTGACTTTGCTTTGTGGGATATGACTCATCAAATGTTAACACAGCAGCCATTTTAAGTTTGATCGACATAAGACTCTATGACACACCATTTCAAAACAGAACTCTCCAGGAAAGTCTGAGATGACAGCCTCACAGAAGAAAGTTCTCAGCTCACGAGAAAGAATCTTCAGAAAATCAACCATGGCTCTATTGAAAGAGACCAGACTACATGCAAATGCAGTGACCACAGAACAAGTAACAATCAGGAAATCTCTCACGCACTAGTGCTCAAAGCCTGCTCTACCCAGAGTCTATCTGTGAAAGTAATTCAACTACAGAAACTATCATTTCTGCTAAATCCTGACATTGTCTGCAATCCAAAAATAGAAATTGCTGGAAAAGCTCAGCAGGTCTGGCAGCATCTGTGGAGAGAAATCAGAGTTAACATTTCGAGTTGAGTGACCCTTCCTCAGAACTTCTTTTCCAGTAATTTCTATTTTTGTCTTTGATTTACAGTATCCACATTTTTTTTTATTATTGGCTTCAACCCTTTCCCCTCAGAAAGAGGGAGCTTCAAGCAAATAACAAGCCTGCAATGTTAAAGAACTGAACTGGTGTTAACTTTATCTGTACCTACTTTTTATATTCGCATCTGTAGTCTATCTAATAACAGCATTACAATTTTACATTGTAACTTTCAGCATAGCTTGCGCAAATAAACTAGTGTTTTATCTGATTTAAAACTAAAGCCTTATTGGTTATATTTAAATTGGAACAGTAAAAAACTAAAAAGGGATCTAAGGAAGCAAAATAATTCACAGTTCAATAACGCACACCGCGAACACTTCTGGTAGTCTTGGCAGACCTGCATAGCAGACTTACAATTTTAAAAACAAAGCCTTGGGATGAGGTGATCTTCTTAGAAGCCTGGGAATAGGCTACATAACCTTCCAACTGCATGAGAACTAGGAAAATTAGAAAGAACTAGATAATGCAACAGATGTAATGTATTTGGATTTTCAAAAGTCTTATGATGAGGTACGGAGTATTAGACCAATAACCAAGGTTAGAACGAGTAGCAAAATGGTTCGAAAGTTGGCCGTAAAACAGAAAGTATAGCAAGGCATAAAAAGATAGTTTCTCAGACTGTAAGAAGTTGGAAAGTGATGTTCCAGATTTCAAGAAGGAGACCCCTGAGGAAGATCTTTAATATTCTAAAAAATGTTGGAGAGGATAAACATAGAGAACATACATTTACTTGTTGTGAACAGAACTAGGAGGCACAAATTACAGAAGTTAAATAAAGGGGAAAGGCTAGTCGGATATTAACTGGTTGGATGAAGAAGGCTGGGGGAGGCTTATATGGGAACACAAATCCTATCTGGATCCTGTGGATCAAAGACCTGTTCCTTGCCATCAATATGATGTGAAAGCCTTCTAAGGTACAAGAATAAGAATCCACCTGTTCCCAATTTTCTCTGATTTTAATAAACTTCATTACAGTCAGACGAGCAGTAATTTGGCTAACCCATGGATGTAATTTTTATTCTCTCATGTGTTGTGGACTTCTCTGACAGGGCTAGAAGGTGTTGTGAATAGCCTACTCGGTTAGTTAACAGCCAAACACGTACCTGTGGATCTGGAGTCACATGAAGACTAGACCAGGTAAGGGAGGCAGATTTGTTTCCTGCATAAGCGTTGGTGAATCAGGTGAGTTCTTACTGTATTTGATGATAGATTAGAATTGAAAGCTAATTTATGTAACTAAGTTAAAAGTCCACCAGCTACCATGATAATATTTGAATTAGTGTCCTCAGAGCATCATCATGGGTGCCTAAATTATTAGTTTAATGACATTCCCACTCTGCCAGCCCAATACTCTCTACAATTTCTACCTCTCTAACAGAAACCTGCTATCAACTTGATGCTTTCCTAAATGCTGGGCCCAACATCAGAGATACATAAGAATCAGAACAATTCCATTCCATTCTGATCATCCTTTCCGTGTCACAACATTACAATACTATAGATAAATTTTAAGATCGGCCACTTCATTTGCTCAGTTTATAGCTGATGGCTGCTCAGATGGTATCAGTTATTCCTCTGCTCCTGGAATTGTAACCTAGGACCTCTTGTAGCATAGGGACAGGAGTAGGCCATTCACCTCTTGAGCCTGCTCTGCTATTTAATGAGATCATGGCTGATCTGTGGCTTAATTCCATATTTCTGCGTTTGACATATCCCTAATACCTTTACCTGACAAAAAAATTATCTGTCTCAGATTCAAAACTAACTATTGATCTAGCACCCACTGTCATTTGAAGGGAGTTCCAAAACTCTATACCATCTTTTGTGTGGTACAGTGGTAGTGTCCCTACCTCTGAAGCAGGAGGCCAGGGTTCATGTCCCACCTGCTCCAAAGGTGTGTCATACCATCTCTGAACAGACTGACTAGAAGATATCTTGGAACTGCAAGTCTTGTTGAAGGAGAATTCCATTAAAAATCTGAAATATGTGTAGCCTAATCAGACAATGGGGTAACTTGTCAATGAGATGAGCTAGTTTTTGGAGTCAGTTTTATTTTCATTTGTTAGCTCTTCCGTTGAAACAGATCTTTTATTTTGTTTTACCAATTCTATATGCTTCACAGTTCACAGAAGCTCTACATTAAGACATATCAAAATCATTCTGCTGGCTTCACCTAATTATTCCTCAGGCTTTCTTGGAATGCTATTCAGTAAACTTAGCCTGAATAAATCTAAACCTGACAGAATTTGCTTCATCCCAGTGTCTTTTCAACAAGGAGAAGGTGTGGAGGCAAAGGCAATGTGGGAAGAGTTCAATTCAATGTCATGCCATGTGACACATAGTTCTTGAGATAAGTGAAAGGACATTCCCCCTTCATTAATTATACCTCTCTATTTGCAGATCCTGCCTGATCTACCAAGTATTTCGAAAATCTTTTGTTTTTTTTTGATAACTTGGGTCAATTTAAGACTGTCTCCTGAAGTTTTCTCCACATACACATGCAACAATGATTAATCAAAATCTACTAGTTGTCTTGAATCATAAAGTGATATCCAGCCACTTTCCTTGGTATGCAAACTTGGTTTCTTGCTTATGAATCCTATTCAATTACTTCTGCTAGAATATGCATGGGAGAATAAGGAAGCAATCTCAGCTACAATGTTGGTGCACAGAGAATCTGTCTACCAGCATGTGTGATTACTGACCACCTGGGTAAGCCTCTGTCTGCCATCACCCTTCATGGGCAACAGGTATCAAACAGGTATCATACATATGGATAAAAGATTAACTGTAACTTAACCAGTATTCTTATGATTGCCGAAACTAAAAAGAAAATGTATTTTTAGTTGATATTTTTATTTTTATGCAGTGGAATTTGTCTTCTCATCTATAGCCTCAGGGTTTGACAATGTATGATTTGGAAGAATTTGTAACAATTCACACGGCAAATGTGAAAAGCAACAATTTAAATTTTAGCACCAAGTTAAAAATTCAAATTCAGAGAGATGTGGAATACATTAACGTCAGAGTTACCTCAAACAAGTACTTATTACATTAATTCCTTTTAGCACTTGAGACTTTGTTTGGCTACAAGATATTTTCTTGCTAACTCTTTTTGCATGGTTCACACCTTCTGCTATATTTGCAGTGCTGTGTATAACAAACACAGGTGGTGCATATCCTGTGTGAAATGTTAAAGAAAAATATATTCATTCAGCGGTTATTATACAACCAGTGGCAGTTCAGTGGCAAAGTCTTTCTCTTTATGTACAAACGTTAATGTATCCAGTTTGATTAAGGTACTCTACCAGTATTGAATGTTAGTTTCAGAAAAAAATCATGGATTCTGCCTAGCTTTAACAAAGAATGGATGAAGTAAATACTAGTGACAAACTCGAAGACAAATGTGTTCAAAAGCTATAGAGTGGAATGGCAAATGCTTCTTCATAAAATGTCATTAACTGGGTCTCTCAGAACATCTCTCAGAATTAT